TACATTTATAGACTTGTGTATGTTGAACCAGCCTTGCATCCCTGGGATGAAGCCTGCTTGATCATGTTGAATAAGCTTTTTGAGTTGCTGTTGCATTCTGTTTCCAGTATTTTATTGAAGATATTTACATAGATGTTCATCATGGATGAACATCTATGGCCTGAAGTTTTCTTTTTTGGTTTCATCTCTGCCTGGTTTTGGTATTAGGATGATGTTGGTCTCATAAAATGAGTTGGGGAGGATTCCCTCTTTTTGTATTGTTTGGAATAGTTTCAGAAGTAATGGTACCAGATCCTATTTGTATGTCTGGTAGAATTCGGCTGTAAACCCATCTGGACCTGGGCTTTTTTTAGTTGGGAGGCTATTAGTTGCTGCCTCAACTTCAGCCCTTGTTATTGGTCTTTTCAGGAATACAACTTCTTTCTGATTTAGTCTTAGGAGAGTTCAAATGCCCAGGAATTTATTCATTTCTGCCATATTTACTGATTTGTACACGCATAGAGTTGTTTGTAGTAATCTCTGATGGTTATTTGTATTTCTGTGGAGTTGGTGGTGATGTCCCCTTTATCTTTTTTTATTGCATCTATTTAATTCTTCTCTCTTTTCTTTTTTATTAGTCTGGCTTTGTTGATCTTTTCAAAAAACCAGCTCCTGGATTTGTTGATTTTTTTGAACTTTTTTTATGTCTCCATCTCCTTCAGTTCTGCTCTAATCTTAGTTATTTCTTGTCTTCTGCTAGCTTTTGAGTTTTTTTTTAAAATCTTGCTCCTCCTACATTTTTGAAAATGTAACGCTCTTTCAATTTTGAAGATAGGGTGTCAATTTTAGACCTTTCCTTGCTTCTCATGTGGGCATTTATTGCTATCAATTTCCCTCTAGGCACTGCTTTAAATGTGTCTCAGAGATTCTGGTGTGTTGTGTCTTCATTCTCCTTGGTTTCAAAAATGTCTTTATTTCTGCCTTCATTTCATTGTTTATCTATTCTACATCCAGGAGTCAGTTGTTCATTTTCCATGAAGTTGTGCAGTTTTGAGTTAGATTCTTAATCTTCAGTTCTAATTTGATTGCACTGTGGTCTGAGAGACTGTTTGTTATGATTTCCATTCTTTTGCATTTGCTGAGGAGTGATTTACTTCCAATTATGTGGTTAATTTTAGAGTAAGTACAATGTGGTGCTGAGAAGAATGTGTATTCTGTGGAATTGGGGTTAAGAGTTCTGTAAATGTTTATTAAGTTTACTTGGTCCAGATTGCATTCAAGTCTTGGATTTCCTCATTGATTTTCTGTCTCATTGATCTGTCTAATGTTGATAGTGGAGTGTTAAAGTCTCTGACTATTATTGTGCAGGAGTCTAAGTCTCTTTGTAGGTCATTAAGGACTTGCTTTATGTATCTGGGTGCTACTGTATTGGGTGCATATATATTTAGAATAGTTAGCTCTTCTTGTTGTATTGATCCTTTTTAACATTATATAATGCCTCTTTGTCTCTTTTGATTTTTGTTAAAGTCCATTTTATCAGAGACTAGGATTGCCATCCCTGCTTTTTTTTGCTCTTCATTTGCTTGGTAAAGCGTCTTCCATCCCTTTATTTTGATTCTATGTGTGTCTTTGCATGTGAGATGGGTTTCCTGAATACAGCACACCAATGGTTCTTGGCTTTTTATCCAGTTTGCCAGTCTGTGTCTTTCGATTGGGTCAGTTAGTCTGTTAACATTTAATGTTAATATTGTTATTTGTGAATTTGATCCTGCCATTTTATTACTGGTTGGTTGCTTTGCCCTTTGGTTGGCATAATTTCTTCATTGTGTCTTTGGTTTTTACCATTTAGTTTTTTGTTTTTGTTTTTGCAGTGCCTGGTACTGGTTTTTCCTTTCTGTGTTTAGTGCTTCCTTCAGGAACTCTTGCAGGGCAGGTCTGGTAGTGACAAAATCTCTCAGCAATTGCTTGTCCATAACAGATTTCATTTCACCATCATTATTAAGCTTAGTTTGGCTGGATATGAAAATCTGGGTTGAAAGTTCTTTTCTTTAAGGATGTTGAATACTGGCCCCCACTCTCTTCTGACTTGTAGGGTTTCTGCTGAGAGATCTGCTGTAAATCTGATGTGCTTCCCTTTATGGGTGACCTGACCTTTCTCTCTGAATGCCCTTAGTATTTTTGCCTTCATTTCAACCCTGGTGAATCTGATGATTATGTGCCTTGGGGTCGCTCTTCTAGAGGAATATTGTGGTGTTCTCTGTATTTCCTGTATTTGCATGTGGGCCTGCCTTGCTAGGTTGGGGAACACTCCTGAAGAGTGTTTTCCAGCTTGGATTCATTCTCCCCATCATCTTCTGGTACACCAATCAGGCATAGATTAGGTCTTTTCACATAATCCCATATTTACAACAAACCCGCAGGCAATATCATACTGAATGGGCAAAAACTGGAAGCATTTCCTTTGAAATTTGGTTCAAGACAAGGATGCACTCTCTCACCACTAATATTCAATACAGTATTGGCAGTCCTAGCCAGAGCAATCACCAGGCAAGAAAAAGAAATAAAGGGTATTCAGTTAGGAAAAGAGGAAGCCAAATTGTCCCTATTTGCAGATGACATGATTGTATATTTAGAAGACCCCATCGTCTCAGCCCAAGATCTCCTGAAACCAATAAGCAACTTCAGCAAAGTCTCAGGATATGAAATCAATGTGCAGAAATCACAAGTATTTCTATACACCAATAACAGAGAGCCAAATCAAAAGTGAACTCCCATTCACAATTGCTACAAAGAGAATAAAATACCTAGGAATACAACTAACAAAGGATGTAAAGGATCTCTTCATGGAGAACTGCAAACTACTGCTCAATGAAATAAGAGAGGACACAAACATATGGAAAAATATTCCATGCTCATGGTTAGGAAAAATCAACATCATGAAAATGGCCATACTGCCCAAAGTAATTTACAGATTCAATGCTATCCCCATCAAGCTACCAATGACCTTCTTCACACAACTGGAAAAAAACACTTCAAAATTCATATGGAACCAAAGGAGAGCCCGCATAGCCAAAACAATCCTGAGCAAAAAAAAAAAAAAAAAAAAAAAAAAAAAAAAACTGTACGTATCATGCTGCCTGACTTCAAACTATACTACAAGGCCACAATAATCAAAACAGCATGGTTCTAGTACCAAAACAGAGATGTAGACCAGTGGAACAGAACAGAGGCCTCAGAGACAACACCATACATCTACAATCATCTGATCTTTGACAAACCTGACAAAAATAAGCAATGGGGAAAGGATTCCCTGTTTAATAAATGATGTTGGGAAAACTGTCTAGCAATGTGCAGAAAGCAGAAACAGGACCCCTTCCTGACACCTTATACTAAAATTAACTCCAGATGGATTAAAGATCTAAACATAAGACCTAACACCATAAAACCCCTTGAAGAAAACTAGGCAAAACCATTCAAGACATAGGCATAGGCAAGGACTTCATAGCTAAAACACAAAAAGCAATGGCAACAAAAGCCAAAATAGACAAATGGGACCTAATTGAACTCCAGAGCTTCTGTACAGCAAAGGAAACAATCATTAGAGTGAACTGACAACCAACAGAATGGAAAAAATTTTTGTAGTCTACCCATCAAAGGGCTAATATTCGGAATCTACAAAGAACTAAAACAGATTTATAAGAAAAAAACAAACCTATACAAAAGTGGGCAAAGGATATGAACAGACAATTTTCAAAAGAAGACATCTATGAGGCCAACAAACATCTGAAAAAATGCTCATCACTGGTCATTAGAGAAATGCAAATCAAAACCACATTGAGATACCATCTCACACCAGTTAGAATTGCGATCATTTAAAAATCTGGAGACAACGGATGCTGGAGAGGATGTGGAGAAATAGGAACAGTTTTACACTGTTGGTGGGAGTGCAAATTAGTGCAACAATTGTGGCAATTCCTTAAGGATCTAGAAGTAGAAATTCCATTTGACCCAGCAATCCCATTACTGTGTATATACCCAAAGAATTGTAAATTGTTCTGTTATAAAGACACATGCACAGGTATGTTCATTGTGGCACTGTTTACAATAGCAAAGACCTGGAACCAACCCAAGTGCCCATCAATGACAGACTGGATAAAAACAATGTGGCACATATACACCATGGAAAACTACGCATCCATAAAAAACGGTGAGTTCGTGTCCTTCATAGGGACTTAGATGAATCTGGAAACCATCATTCTCAGCAAACTGACACAAGAACAGAAAACCAAATACCACGTTATCACTCATAGGTTGGTGTTGAACAATTAGTACACGTGGACACAGGGAGGGGAGCATCACACACTGGGGTCAGTTGTGGGGGGTTGGGGAGGGACAGTGGAGGCTGGGGAGGGTGGGGAGGGGTAATGAGGGAGAAATGCCAGATATAGGTTATGGGATGATAAAGGCAGCAAACCACCTTGCCATGTGTGTACCTATGTGATAATCCTGCATGATCTGCACATGTACCCCAGAACCTAAAGTACAATAATAATAATAAAAAAAGACAATGCAAAGGTAAACTGAGTTTGCTTTGATAGGGAAAGTGTCCTGAAACCTCCCCATCTAAAATACCCCCAGCCTGACTCCCCATCAACCTCCATCTCCTAATACTGTCTTATTTTGCACCCCTAACTGATACTATACTACATATTTTGTAGTATAATGATCTACCTCCCCAGCCGAACATAAGCTCTACATAAGCAGAAATCTGTCTGCTCTATTGCTATGTCCCCAGCAGGTGAATTCTGCTTTTACAGAACAAGAACTACTGAGTCTGAATTAGAGAAGTCTACCTCTGAAGGTTTCTAAAGGAAAACTCTCCCTCTGTCCCTCCAGATTTCAATATAATGCCCATAGAGTTGGGAAGGGAGGACCCCATCAAGGATCATGAGTTTAACAAGCCTTCCCACAATTAGCACAGTAGCTAATTGTGACCAAACAGAAGAAACAAAGACTTGCTAGGTTCTCGTGATTGGTGTTATGAAATCAGAGCATGCTGAATAATAAAACTTCTTGTTGATAACTGAACCCAAGTCAATGGGAAGAAACAACGAAACCAGCAGTGTCTCTGAGTTCATCCTCCTGGGACTTTGCTCCCGGCCTGAGGTCCAAAAGCCACTCTTTGTTCTGTTCCTCATTGTGTACCTCGTCACTGTAACAGGAAACCTGCTCATCATCCTGGCCATTCTCTTCAACCTCCGTCTTCAGACACCTATGTATTTCTTCTTGAGTTTTCTGTCTCTCACTGATATTTGCTTTACAACAAGTGTTGTCCCCAAGATGCTGGTAAACTTCCTGTCAGAAAAGAAGACCATCTCCTATGCGGAGTGTCTGACACAGATGTATTTCCTCTATGCCTTTGGCAACAGTGACAGCTGCCTTCTGGCAGTCATGGCCTTTGACCACTATGTGGCCATCTGTGACCCCTTCCACTATGGCACCACCATGAGCCACCACCGCTGTGTCCTACTGGCGGCCTTCTCCTGCTCATTTCCTCACCTCCACTCACTCCTGCACACTATTCTGCTGAATCGTCTCACCTTCTGTGACTCCAATGTTATCCACCACTTTCTCTGTGACCTCAGCCCTGTTCTGAAATTGTCCTGCTCCTCCACATTTGTCAATGAAATTGTGCTGATAACAGAAGGGCCTATCGTTTTGGTGACTCCTTTTATATGCATTGCTTTCTCTTATATACAAATCCTCATTACAGTTCTCAAGATTCCCTCGACTTCTGGGAAACGCAAAGCTTTTTCCACCTGTGGTTCTCACCTCACCGTGGTAACACTCTTTTATGGCAGCATCTTCTATGTCTATTTACAGCCCCCATCCACCTACACCGTCAAGGACCACATGGCAACAATTGTCTACACAGTTTTGTCATCCATGCTCAATCCTTTTATCTACAGCCTGAGAAACAAAGACCTGAAACAGGGCCTGAAGAGGCTTATGAGCAAGAGATCATAGGAAGCATCCTCTTGAAAAACCCATAAGTGGAATCTGCTCAACTTGGACCTGTTTTCTAGTGAACAGTCAAGTTGTTAGAAGCTAGCCCTTCTGACCCATGTGAGAAAAGGCTATTGTGGGCACTTGTATCTCTTAAATCACAGTACTTTCTTGTCTATGTCTCCTCTTTCTTAGAAAGATTTATTTATCCCACTGTCTTTTCTAAAAAAATGCTTTAACCTAATCCTTTCCCCACAAATATTTCCCAAATAAATTTCTCTCTGTTTATTAAGGCATATCCTCCAAAATCTTTACATTTCAATATATTACTGAAAAATGCCTAATTTATAGCTGTTAAATGTTCTTGCAAAAAAATCTGAAAAGAGAAAGAATGAAGGAAGAGGAGGATATATATTTTAGCTAATTTTCTCATCTTGAGGATTTTAATTTTTTTATTTTTCTCCTTCTAAAACTTTTATTGCTTAAATCTTAAGCTTTTACTTTTACCTTTCCTTTACTATACTGCTGTAGTTTTATTGACTTTTAATTTCCTCTTATTTTTTATCATACAATTTAAAAAGGCTAATGGTCAGAAAGAACAAGAACCACAAGTGATAACATGGAAATTATCCATTTCACACAGGGGAACTTGAAATGTTTCTTCTGGTTCACCTTCCCATAAACTATGTGTTTAAAATGTGTGATTTAATACTTCATCTAGAAACTTTTTCACTTATAAATTTGTATTAATATTATTGTAAATGTGTATTGAATATTGTGAGATATATGTATGTATAATCTCCAAAGATATTCAGGGAAATCTCAGTTTATAACAGATAAAAACGGCAACAACTTGAAACCTTTTCAATAGGGAAAGGGAGAAAGATGCTATGATTAATTCCATAAAATGTAACTATATGCAGCATGTTCAATAATCAAATATATCTTTATTGCTTCCTTGAAAAGCCATTAAGTAGGAAAATGAAGATGTGGAACAAATGTAAAAGTATGAATCCACTAGATTAAAAATTTACATGAATATGAATGTACATGGTGTGTAGTCACTGGGGTAAGAATGGAAGGGCAGGGGGGAACATGGAAGGAGAGTATTTCTTCTTTATACACAGTTGAAATCTCTGAATTTGTTCAAATAAACATTTATTGCCCATGGAATTGAAAACTATTAATAAACAAGATGATCAGACAATGGTGAAAGACTACACAAATTACCAGTTGAAGAAAAACTTTCTGAGTGCATGCATATCTAAAAACATGTCTTCGGCACATTTAGTAGACAATTTGATAATTTGGTAGGATATAGCATTCTAGGTCCAAAGCTTTTCTTTTGGATCTTTTAAAGATATATCTATATTATTCTAACACCTTGGGTGTTTTCAGTGATAAAACATCCTAATTTGTGTTCCTTCGTAATGATTTCCTTCTCATTGAATCATACTCCATAGATCCCTGACAACAAACATGGCTACGTTGCCAACTGGTTAGGTCTTGGAAGAGCAGGCCCTGATTCCACCTACTTTACTCCAAGCTTGAGCTCAGGAGCCCAGTTATTATTCTTGACTGTGTGTTTTCTCATAGATGTCAAGATATAACAAAAGGGTAAAAAATAAAACACTAGGCCAACAGTTCCTAGACTTGAAATCAAAAGAAAAGAGCATGATTCATAAAAGCAAATATTTTAAAGTTGAACTTCATAAAAATTAAATTACTAGAAGGTGAAGATGGGGAGAAGGTGAGTTAAAAACTACCTATCTGATGCTATGCTCACTACCTGGGTGATGGGATTCAAACCTCAGAATCACACAGTATTCTTGTGTAACAAATATGGACATGTACCCATGTATTTAAAATAAAAGTTGAAATTTAACAATTAAAAACTTGTTCTGTAAGAAATACTGTTAAGAGAATGAAAAGAGAGACTGAAGAGTGGGAGAAAATATTTGCAAATCACATATTCAGTAAAGGACTAGTACCCAGAATGTATAGAAAGCTCTCAAAACTCAATAGTAAAAAGTAAACAATCCAAATGGAACTTCAAAAAAAAAACATGAAGAGACATTTCATCAAAGGAGATATACAGATGGCAAGCAAGAACAGAAAAAGATATAGAATATCATTAGACATTTGAGAAATGAAAATTAAAATGACAATGAGATTTGACTACATACTTATTAGAATGGCTAAAATAAAAAATAAGGACAACACTAAATTTTCATAAGGATGCAGAGAAACTGAACCACTTATACTTATCCTGCCAAAACCACAAAACAATATAGTCATTCAGAAATCTGTCTGGAAGTCTGTTTAAAAAGTAAGCATACACCTGAATGTGATGGTGAGAATGAATTCAAGCTGGAAAACACTACAGGATATTATCCAGGAGAACTTCCCCAACCTAGTAAGGCAGTCCAACATTCAAATTCAAGAAATACAGAGAACTCCACAAAGATATTCCTCAAGGAGAGCAACCCAAAGGCACATAACCATCAGGTTCACCAGGGTTGAAATGAAGGAAAAAATGCTAAGGGCAGCCAGAGAAGGATCAGGTCATCCACAAAGGTAAACCCATGAGACATACAGTGGATCCCTTGGCAGAAACCCTACAAGCCAGAAGAGAGTAAGGGCCAATATTCAACATCCTTAAAGAAAAGAACTTTTAACCCAGAATCTCATATCCAGCCAAACTAAGCTTCATAAATGAAGGAGAAATAAAATCCTTTACAGACAAGCAATTACTGAGCAATTTCATCACCACCAGACCCGCCTTACAAGAACTCCTGAAGGAAACACTAAACACAGAAAGGAACAAGTAGCAGCCATTGCAAAAGCATACAAAATGGTAAAGGCCAATAATGCAAAGAAGAAACTGAGCCAACTAACAGGAAAGAAAACCAGCCAGTAACAAAATGGTAGGATTAAATTCACACATCATAATATCAACATTGAATGTAAACAGCCTAAATGCACCAATCAAAAAACATAGGCTGGCAAACTGAATAAAAATTCAAGACCCATTGGTGTGCTGTATTCAGGAAACCCATCTCACATACAAAGACACACATAGACTCAAAATAAAGGGATGGAAGCAGATTTACCAAGCAAATGGAGAACAAAAAAAAGCAGGGGCTGCAATCCTAGTCTCTGATAAAAAAGACTTCAAACCAACAAAGATCAAAAGAGACAAAGAAGGGCATTACATAATAGTAAAAGGATCAATCCAACAAGAAGAGCTAACTATCCTAAATATATATGCACCTAAAACAGGAGTACCCAGATACATAAAGCAAGCTTTTAATGTTCTAAAAGGAGATTTAGATTCCCACACAATAATAGTGGGAGGCTTCAACCCTCCACTGTCAATATTAAACAGATCAATGAGACAGAAAATTAACAAGGATATCCAGGACTTGAACTCAGATCTGGACCAAGCAAAACGAATAGACATCTACAGAACGCTCCACCCCAAATCCATGGAATATACAGTCTTCTCAGCACCACATTGCCCTTACTCTAAAGTTGACCATATAATTGGAAGCAAATCACTCCTCAGCAAATGCAAAAGGATGGAAATCATAACGAACAGTATCAGACCACAGTGAAATCAAATTAGAACTCAGCATTAAGAAACTCACTCAAATCTGCACAACTACTGGGAAACGGAACAATTTGCTTCTGAGTGTCAACTGGATAAACAATGAAACGAAGGCAGAAATAAAGACATTCTTCAAAACCAACAAGGATGAAGACACAACATACCAAAATCTCTGGGACACATTTAAAGCAGCATCTAGAGGGAAATTTATAGCAATAAATGCCCACATGAGAAACAAGGAAAGATCTAAAATCGACACCCTATCATCAAAATTGAAAGAGCTAGAGGAGCAAGATCAAAAAGACTCAAAAGCTAGCAGAAGATAAGAAATTACTAAGATCAGAGCAGACCTGAAGGAGATAGAGACACAAAAATCCTTCAAAAAATCAATAAATCCAAGAGATGGTTTTTTGAAAAGATCAACAAAATAGACAGACCACTAGCCAGACTAGTAAAAAAAGAGAGAGAGAGAAGAATCAAATAGATGCAATAAAAAATGATAAGGGGATATCACCACTGATTCCACAGAAATACAAACTACCATCAGAGATTACTACAAACAACTCTACGCACACAAACCAGTAGATCTGAAAGAAATGGATAAATTCCTGGACACGTGCACCCTCCCAAGCCTAAACCAGGAAGAAGTTGAAACCCTGAATAGACAAATAACAAGGGCTAAAGTTGAGGCAGCAATCAATAGCCTACCAAGCAAAAAAAGTTCAGGTCGAGAGAGGTTCACAGCCGAATTCTACCAGACATAGAAAGAGGAGCTGGAACAATTTCTTCTGAAACTATTCCAAGCAATGCAAAAAGAGGGAATCCTCCCTAACTCATTTTATGAAACCAATATCATCCTGATATTAAAACCTGGCAGAGACTCAAATAAAAAAGAAAACTTTAGGCCAATATCCATGATGAACATTGATGCAAAAATCTTCAACAAAATACTGGCAAACCAACTGCAACAGCACATCAAAAAGTTTATTCATCACAATCAAGTAGGCTTCTCCTGGAGATGCAAGGCTGGTTCAACATATGCAAGTCCATAAACGTAATCCACCACGAAAACAGAACCAAAGAAAAAAACCACACTATTATCTCAATAGATGCTGAGAAGGCCTTCGACAAAATTCAACAGCTCTTCATGCTAAAAACTCTCAATAAACTGGGTATCAGCAGAACATATCACAAAATAATAAAAGGTATTTATGACAAACCCACAGCCAACATCATACTGAATGGGCAAAAGCTGGAAGCATTCCCTTTGAAATCAGGCACTAGACAAGGATGCCCTCTCTCACCGCTCCTATTTAATATAGTATTGGAAGTTCTAGCCAGAGCAATCAGGCAAGAAAAAGAAATAAAGGGTATTCAATTAGGAAAGGAGGAAGTCAACTTTTCTCTATTTGCAGATGACATGATTGTATATTTAGAAGACCCCATCGTCTCA